GGATACTAAGCAATGGAAATTAGATTCAGGAATCTTGTTCTGAAAAGAAAAAGGGGGATATAGTAATGATAGGATAAAAGAATAGATTATTTTGTCAACTTTCAAACTAGAAAACAACTACTAGTCTCAAATATTTCACATTGGTATGTATTTTCATATATTGATACAAACTTTTTGTTATGCTCTGTAAATGTTTCTACTCTTATGTGAGATATTTTTGTATATTGAAACAAATCTAAGGTTATTTTTGTCATACTGTATTATATGCTTCTATTTCTTATTTTAAGTATTATACCTATGGCACTCATTTGTAAATGTAAATAAAGTTCTAGTCCTGGAAAGGTATATAGGATAATAAAGAAATATAGGTTAGTAGTTAGTTAGTCATCTATAACAATCAAACTTACAGTCATGCTAGGTATGTTTTCAAGGTCAAAGAGAGACATATTTTAAATAGATTGCCTTCAAATACTTTAGAGACCTACAGACTATTACACTTTAATGTTTTAATAACAGCGCTTTTCATGACAGTGAGACATGTCTGCTCCTGGCAGCCCTAATCTACTTCATAAAAGGATGATGACCATCAAAGAACCTCCATATGGAGTTTGCTTTCTTTATGGCAAAAGCTTGTAATTTGGGCAAGAAACTGCCCTTGCCTCAACTGCTGATGGTATGTTGTCCAAACTCGATAAGCAGGACATGAAAGAAGGTGACTGTCAAACTTTGCCAAGACAAGGTAGGACAGTCCTTCAAAAATTCCCACTTCACAGTAAAGTCTGTCAGATATTCTAAGTCTGGAGGCCAAAGATGGATGCCCCATTGTTACAGAGGAACCTTGGGTGACTGTCCAGGTAGCCAGGCGACTCTTTTTTCTAGTTTTGGAAGTTGCTTCCTCTGTACTTCCTGCTTACTCAGGTAATATTATATACTTCTTGGGTCTCTGATGGAGTTGAAGACTAGATAGGTATAGTTGTTTCCCTTAGACATGAAAGAAATTACATTAGGTACAAAACTTTGGACTATTCAAGAGAGGATATATAATGAAATATTTTTTCTAAATTTACGAAATATTAATGGACTGGACATTGTAAATGTATTTCATACTTGGTAATTGCTTTTATTGTATACAGTTTTGCATTGTTAGAGTTAAAACCTTTCATTTTTACTTAGAGAAAAAGGAGAAATGATGGAAGAGACTTATCTGTATAGCCTATAAACTGTGCCAATAAAGCAACCTTGAATATAGAGTGGAGTCAGCATTTGACTGACCAGGATTAGCCATAAAGTTCTTGGAGGACTTTGCAGGGTAGCTAGAGAGGACAGGAAGAGACTCAGGAGAAGTTCAGGGAAACTTGCAGTGCTGGAGTTTACAGAGAATGTGGAGAGAGGGTCAGTCAATTGCTCCTCTTTCCCTGGAATTTTCAGGTCTTTATCTCAGTTTCTGAATCCTGAGTTTTTATTATTCTAGAAGAAATTAGGCAATCCTTTCATCTGGCAGCTACACTGAGCAATATAATTGCCCACCCATCCTGAGACAAAGGCTCTATAACCTGAGGGACTATGGCAGAAATCTGGCTGGGATTGACTGGCTGATATGAGCTATTAGGGACACTGTTAACATCACCCATCAATATTAGAACCTGGAAGACAATAGAGAAGGACAGACAGACATCACTGGGAAAACTGTTGCTGTGGGATGTTCTGTATGTCAAATGTTTTGCTCTGATTGGTTAGTAAATAAAACACTGATTGGCCAGTAGCCAGGCAGGAAGGATAGGCGGGACAAGCAGAGAAGAGAACTGGGGGAAGTGGAAGGCTGAGGAGGGGACAGCGCAGCCACCACCATGACAAGGGAGATGTAAGGTACCGGTAAGCCACGAGCCACGTGGCAAAGTATAGATTAATAGAAATGGGTTAATTTAAGATAGAAGAAGTAGATAACAAGAAGCCTGCCATGGCCATACAGTTTATAAGTAATATATGAGTCTGTGTGTTTATTTTATAAGTGGGCTACGGGGCTGCTGGGGCTTGGCGGGACCTGGAGAGAATCTCTCCAGCTACAAACTACTTTTTTTAAACAAGGTCAGACAAGACTGTATTCATAGGAATGTTAAGAGACTGTCAGGGCCTAGGGCCTGATAAAGGGCTCTAGGAACTTTCATGAGTTGTAACACATTCTGAGATGGGCTTCACAGTGATGCAGCTGCCTTTGAGTCACCCACACTATTATTCTCACTAAGGTTCACTAAGCTAGACTAGGCTTTAACTGTTTCATTGGTCTATCTCATAGTTGCCATCTGTGTGGTTGTGGAGGTTTGAATGTACTTGGCCCCCATATTGTCAGAGGGAGTGGCACTATTAGGAGGTGTGGCTTTGTTGGAGTGGATATGACCTTCTTGGAAGAAGTGTGTCACTGTGGGGGTGGGATTTGGGGTTTCCCATGCTCAGGATACCACTGATTGTCTCAGTTGACTTCCTATTTCCTGCAAGATGTAGCACTCTCAACCCCAGTGCAACATCTGCCTGCACTCTGCCATGTTCCCCATCATGGTGATAATGGACTGAACCTCTGAAACTGTAAACAAGCCACGACAATTAAATGTTTTCTTTATAACAGTTGCAGTGGACATGGTGTCTCTTCACAGCCATCAAAACCTGAAGTAGGACAGTGGTGAAAGCCATTTCTTCCCATCTCTAGGAAAAGTCACACAATATCATTCCCCATGGAACTGAGAACATGCAGTGTTTATTTTCCTGTACAAAACTTAGTTCATTTAGCGTATTACCCTCCAGGTCCATCCATGTTCTCAAAACACCGAATTTACTTTTTATAAAGCTCAATTGTATTACAGTGTGTTCATATATCACATTTTCTTTATCCAGTCATCCACTGATGGATGAGTCCTTAATTTTCCATGTCTTGCTTTTCAAGTGACAAAGCAAGGAATAATATAGAGCTTTGCTCTGTCTTCAACAGATCATTAGTCACTGTGTTTTACACATCGCAGAGTGGGACTGCTGGATTACACAGCTGACATTGCCTTTGGTGCACAGAAAATTTCAGTTTTTGTGAGGCCTCATTTGTTGTTTAGCTGTTATTGTCACCTCTGCTTTTGTGTCACAGTCAAAAGTATCACTGCCAAATCCAATGTCACTGAGCTTACATCACAGATTCTCATCTAAATGTTTTATAACCTTTGTTATTACATTTAGGTATGGGATCCACTTAGAGTCAATGTTTGTATCAGGTATTAAAAAACGGGTCTTGGGCATGGAACAACCCTTTGCCTGAGCATCCTCTGGACTGCTCAACTCTAAGCATACTTGTCAAAGATCATTTGGCCACAGGGGAGAACTGGGCAGAGGAATGGTCTGACTTGGTGCTCTTTCTTGTTGTGGCTGTGGTAGGTTTTGCTGCAGGTGGTTGTTTTGGCTGTTTTTGAAACGGGTATAGTCAGAAGCTTTCCTGTGTCCTGTGTAGGCCCTACAGTCTGGACGAATCTCTCCCACCCACATCCCACAGCCTCTTGATCCCAAATAAACACACAGAGGCTTATGTTATTTTAAAACTATATGGCCTAATGGCTCAGGCTTCTCACTAGCTAGCTCTTACATCTTAAATTACCCCATTTCTATGAATCTCTACTTTGCCACATAGCTTGTGGCTTACCAGTACTTTTACTTCTTGCTTCTCCTGGTGGCGGCTAGCAGCATCTGCCCCACTCTCTTTTCTTCTCTCACTTTCTCTCTCTTGGATTTGCCTGCCTGGCTCCATCTTGCCCTGCCATAGGCCAAAGCAGCTTTTTTTTATCAACCAATCAGAGCAACACATATTCACAGTACACAGAAAGACATCCCACAGCAATGGGGTGTTACTATGTAGCCCAGCCTGGCTGGAAACTGACTTGTTAGTCTAGCCTGATCCTGAGCTCATGGCATCCTCTTGCCTCAGTCCTTCAACTACTGGGATTATAGGCATGAAACCCCACAGATGGCACAATATTTCTCTTTTTTTAAATTGCATATCCATTTACTGGTTGTTTACTGGTAGGAGACAGATGGGGGACCCCAAAGTTGTGCCCACAGCTCTGATGCCTGCAGTGGGAGAGAGGATTGGGTTGTCGGCTGCAGTACAGGCCTAACAGTCTATTCTAGGTGGAGGCTGGGTTCTGGAAAGAGAGTCACCTGCTATATTACAACTGTGTGTCACCAAAAAGGTTTGTCTTCATACCCTTGGCTGGGAGCTCTGAGAGTTGGGGGTCTATGCTGGCTAGTTTTATATCAACTTGACTCAAACTAACTCATTTGGGAAGATGAAACTCCTGTTGAGAAAATACCTCCCTTCCACCAGATTGACCTGAGGGAAAACCTATGGGACATTTTCTTGAATGATGATTGGTTTGGGTAGGTCCAACTCTTTGGGGGTACTGCCACGCCTGGGGTTGTGGCCCTGGATTGTGCTGATTTATTACCTCAACAGAGATTCTAACTAAGACAGAGTCCCTGTGAGGAAAAGTGGTCATTTAGAGTACACTCAGCCTTGACATTCTTTCAGTTAACTCCTGGCCACAGGAACCAGATAGGTGAATATTTACATCTACCACAATTAGCACAATGAGAAAAAGATGTGATCATTAAAAATAACTATAATTTTAATGTAAAAAATTGCTATATGACTTTCTCCCATCTTCAGAGCCTTCCTAGGACTGCCAGAGTGAATATGATTTAGGCTGCAGACTAAAGTACACTCTCTCCCCACCCATCACAGGCAAGGACTTGAAGGAAGACACATGGCCAGCCTAGAAACATAGTACTTACGGGAGTACTAGGAGAGAATACCCTGCTTATTGCCTCACCTCTCCTAATCTACCTTCTCACAGGAAGTGCACTCCCCAAAGGAACAAACAGATGTCAGACACAATCAGAGAGTTCTTGTCCACTTGCTTGATGTGCATGAATTTATCATGATGTTTTTTCTCTTTTTTTGTCTATGACAGGTGAACCTCCAAAACCAAAAAAACATCGACCCTCATTAAGGGGTATTATTGGCATTGTTGCTCAATGTCTGATGGGGCTGATTGCAGTAATATTTGTCCTGGTTTTCCTGTGGCGCAGCCGTCGTGGCAGGTGAAGTGTCTTACACCCTTCCACCTACTCTTCCATTCCCTCCATGCTTGGGAAAGGGAAGAGTCTTCCTTCACTTTGTGTCTGGACTCCATCTTCTTCTCTTTGCTATGTGTCACTGTGTTCCTCATATCACTGCCTTCCCATGTCCTGTACCCCACTGTTTGTTGGTCATGGTAACTCCTTTCCCTGTGAAGTTTGGAGATACATTGACTTCATCTTTCACCAGGGAGCCACAAATTGAGAACAACGTTAAACAGATGGACAATGAGCCAACCAAAATCAATGAAACCTCAAAAGAAGCCTCAAATGTGAAACCTCAAAACAAAAAGAAAGCAATAGTAAATTCTTTATTTTGTTGTCACAGCAGCAGAGATGGAGGGAGGGACTGAGATAGCCTAGTGGAGGCAGAAGAATCAGGGTCCTCTTGACAAGTGAAAGAAGAACCCAGCATTGGTAGACAAAGGAGTGTGGGTTGAAGACCAAATATGCAGAACACTGAAAGGACAGATCTTTGGGACTGGGATGCCCCCCTCAACCAAAGTACCATCCCCAGCACCAGTTAGAATACAGCTAATATGATGGGGTAAAAGGATCAAAGGCTAGGAGGGGCTGGTTAAGGGACTGGTTAGATTGGAAAAGGAGACAGCACCAAGAAAGGCAGTGGCAGTCATGGTGTGAATGCACAGCAAGGACACCAAGCAGCTCCCAGGAAACATCAGCTCCCAGGGGCCTTTCCAACTGAGGAACCAAACAATAGTGACAATGTCTCCCATTTTTTTAGATCAAGAAGTAAGAGCATGCTCAGTGAGGACAACTGGACACCATCCACCCACAGTAAGTAAAGGCACTGACCCTCGGGAATCAAAAGTCCCACCACCTGCCCATCCTTCCACGGCATCCTGGACACCAGCCACTGTCTCCTGTCTGACTTACAGAGCAGATCTTCTTTTCCCAGCCTCTGGCTGGCATTTTCTTTAGGCTGCCAACCAGCTCCCAAATAAAGACACGGAGACTTATTATTAATTATGAATGCTCAGCCTTAGCTGAGGCTTGTCCAGCTAGCTCCTTCACCTTAATTTAAACTGTTTCTATTCATCTATGTTTTTGCCTCAGGCCTTTTTCCCTTTCTTTCCTGAGCCCAAATTCCTCCTGCTACTTACTCTCCCTGCCTAGATGTCCCACCTATACCTCCTCCCTCACTATTAGCCATTCAGCTTTTTCTTAGACAAGTCAGGTGCTTTAGGCAGGCAAAGTAAAACAGCAACACATCTTTACATTGTTAAACAAATATTGCACAACACCAGTCCTCAGGTGCCTTAGTCCTCATGGCTTTCCGTTCAGTGCTGAACGGAGACTCAGTCCACCTAGGCTAGGCTGGCATGAGGGAACCACATGTCCAAGAGCAAGTGCCTCACACTAATGCCTTCCCTGCTGTGTGTGAAGGTTGTGGGCATTCATTCTCCCTGGTGTACATGAGAGCCGGTTCACACCAACACACATACAAACTAGGTTTAGGGCAGATGAGATACTTTAGTGTGTAAAGTGCATTTTACTAATCTGACACTTGAATTCATTCCCTGAACCCTGAGGTGAAAGGAGAGACCCCTCCTGCAAGTTGTCCTCTGAGATGCACCCATGTTCTGTCTGTCTGTCTGTCTGTCTGTCTGTCTGTCTGTCTGTCTCTCTCTCTCTCTCTCTCTCTCTCTCTCTCTCTCTCTCTCTCTCTGTGTGTAGTCTTGAGACTGACTGTATGATCATACTTTTCAGGTGGATGGCCTTCACATTATTTCCTGAGAAACAATGTCCAGCAACCCAAATCCCTAACTTCAGCCTCCCCATATCCACCAGCAACAACGGTCTTCTGAAATAAAAACACAGTGATGGGACCTGCCCCATTAGCTGCTGCTCATGTATTCCCAGTCTCCTGCCCCTCACTGGGACAGGGTAATGGAGGAGAGTCCCCAAAGGACACAACTCTGCAGCCCCAGCCTTCAGAGTCAGCAGAGAGAAAGGCAGATAATGCATTGGGTAGCCGGTGGCTATCAGGAAAGGTGTTGCTGGTGAGGGATTGCACCCTTTAGAGTACAGAGCAAGAGCGCTTATGAAGTTTACTGTAGCCAGGGATCCAGCTGAGTAGTGATCAAAAAACTGACTGTGGCAGAGAAAAATGGGCTGTGGTAGGGGATGACTTCCACTGGGGAAAGCCCTCTGACAGATAGGTGACTATGTGTGCAGGTTCCTGGCATGTGATCTCTGCCATCAGGAGGATGACAATGTAGACTGGCTTGTGTACAGTTCTAGGAGTCCATTGGCAGCCACTGCACCTATTTCCTGACATGGGATTTTTGCTGTACACATAGCAGGCCATGAAATCCAAGGTCCTGCAAACAGGAACTGTCTTGGTTGGTCACAGATGCAGTTCCATGGTGGAGAGATACAATCTCCCATTCGTGTCTGTTTGGGATTCCATTTCACCTCTCTGTTGTGAATTGTTCTCTAGTTCCACAAAGCTAAGTGGCCAAGCCTTCAGCAAGCACATGAAGCACTCCTGGACATTTGCCCACTCTGTTCTCAGGGCTTCCTCGCACACACTACTGTCTCCTTAGCTCCCCGACACTAGCTCCTTCTCCTGCTGGGGAATGTCCAGTGTCCTATCACATACTCCAGATTCCTCTCTTGCTCACACTTCCTGCTCTTGCCAACACTTAGCTCTGTGGGACCCTCTGTTCTAATTGCATCTGTCTCCCTGTACACCTCTGCCCCACTACTGTGACAGGAGAGTAGTGACAGAAAAGGATGCATCAGGAGACAACCTAGTTGACCAGGAAGACTAGAAGCCTGTCCCCACCTGACTTCATACAGTCGAGCATACTCAAGAGATGCCAGGGATAGGAGCTGGAGAGGTGGTTCGGTGGATCTAAGCACTTGGCTCCTCTCCCAGAGGACTCAGATCCCCAACAACCACACAGCTAAAAACCTTTTGTAACTGTAGTCTCTGGGGATCTGATACCATCTTCTGTCCCCAGAGAGTACCGGACATATACATAATGTACACACATACACCAACCACCAACCACCACCAGCACCACCAGCACTACCATCACCACCACCACCATCACCACCCACATACACAGGCATAGAGGGACAGGCAGGGAGTGTAAACAAACACAGAGCAGTGACCGCTAAGTAAAGTCCTATAGAGGGCCTTGTGGATCCTAGCTTCTACATAGGAGTTCAGTGAGATCAAAGGAAGATCCAAATGAGACCACTTTGCATTCATAGTTACCTCTGTGCTGACACATATGGACCCCCTGTCTTGGATCAAGACCATGGCGGTCCATCCTCTGTCTTTACTTTGCTGTTTGGGGCCCATATACCTGTACTCTTTGGGTACTTTCTTCTGTTATATCATCCATGCTTGAGATCCATTGTTTGAGAAATAAAGCAGTGGCTGCCCACATTTCTATATTCCCCATGGTCTCATGCCCTGGTGAGGTGTGGGCTCATTTATCATGAGCTGAGCTCACCACACAGAAAGAAACCAAGTGACTTTGTTGCCATCTTGGATGGTGACTTTATCAAGATAGAGGTGACCATGTGACTTGGCCATTATCTTGGTTAGTGACATTATTGAAATATTTACCAGTATTGAGAGCCCTCAGAAGATCATGCACTCCTAGGACTTCCTGTGCCACAGGCAGTCAGGTACACATCCAAGTCCTCCTCTTCCAACTTTTCCATTTTAATTAAATCTTCTGTATTCCCAATGGGATCATGGAATTGGGAGACTTAGAAGATACTCCAACATGGGCTCTATTGCCACATGATAAAAATCAACACTTGTGTCATTTTTTTTTGTGGGGAGGAAGGCGGTTCAAGGCAGGGACTTTCTGGGTAACAATTCTGGCTGTACTTGGTCTTGCTCCATAGCCAAGGCTGGCCATAAACTCATTCATATCTGCCTGGCTCTGCCTCCTGAGTGCTGGAATTAAAGGTGTGTGCCACCAACACCCACTTTCTCTGTATCTTAAGGAGGTTATACCCAAACTCCATGGTGTAGTTTTTGGTTGGCACATTGTTTTGCAGGATATATTTACAACTTTCTGTATGAGTTTTCCCAGCCATGTGCCTCCAACAATACCAACAGCAGCTAACACCTTCAAACTGACAGTCTTTTAATGGAGAGAATAATGAGAGAATGCTCTGTCTAATATAAAAATCATAAGATGATTAATAAACCTCACCAGTATAAAAAATGGACACTTATAAACATATACAAAATAATACATGAATTATCACTCATAAATTTTGAAGAGGATGGAGAGCCATAGGTTCTTTTTTTTTTTAATAGCAGGAACTTCTGATAGATTTAAGCATAGGATTGGAGGAGGAGAAAATGACTTTTCTACTGTGGGGCTAGAAGTTCCTCTTTTCTAGTTAAAACAAGAGGAATAAATGTCTTCTATGATCTAAATCTGTAATAACAACTAACATGTCAGTATACATGTGCCTTCTTTTCTGGGGTTTGTATATTAAAAATGCCATCAAGTTCATTTTTAATAATGTGCTAAGACGCTTAGTAAAATGTGAACATTTTTTTTTCTGTCAGGTTAGAAAAGGGATGTAAAAGTCCAAGCAAAGAGTGTTGCTTTATACCTGAATCAGAAAAAGCTTGGTAATTAAAAGGATGTGTGAGGTAGTCTTAATTTGTTATATTAATCTATTCATGTAGCGTGGACTTGACTTTCTTTTAATAAGGAGGTGTTTCCCAGCAGCTCTCTTCTCAGTCAGACAGCTCCCATACTCAGGACTCCTACTGTGCCTGTTTGGAAAAGATCACAGCTGGGCATGTGGAGAGCTGGTTCTTTGAGAGGGTAAACAAGATTGACAGGCCCTGCGCCCAACTAACCAAAGGGAAGAGAGGGAGGACCCAAAGTGACTGAATCACAAAGGAATAAAGAAACGTCACAACAGACACCAAAGAAATTCAGGATATTGTAAGGG